TGCCAGGGGGTATATCCTCAATCTCCTTGTAAACACCTTTTGCATTAAGGGACTCTAACTCACTGACAAGATATCAGTATTTTTGTGCCATAAAAGGCTAGGAAATATATTACATTTTTCAGTTTATTTTCCAGTAATTTTGTCCCCTGTAAAATAGCATGTTTTGTGTCCATGAAAGGTGTGGGAAAATAAAACTTTTTTCGCCGCTTATTCTGCTGGAAAAAGTACATATTTTACCAAATCTATTTTCCTTGAAATATTCGTAATTTTTCCATAATTTTTACCTTTGTAAAAGCTTTGTTTTGACCTTTGTAATATATTGGCTTTTTCAAAAGATTTTACTTAGGAAATATATGCTGCAAAAAGAAACGAGCAATGAATGGGTCAAAGGTATCCTTTGTCCGGGCCAGCCCGCCCGGCCGTAAAATAAATCCTTTTTCACAAGAAAAATACAATGAAAAATACAATATTTTGCCACTGTTATAAAACCACTTTTTCAGTGGCAAAAAATGTAGAAAAATAAAAAATATTTCCGGAAAAATAGCTAGTGTAAAATATGCTATTTTACAGGTGAAAAAGAATGTATTTTCCCACACCTTTTTCTTCTGAAACAAATGATATTTTGCAGAGGAGAAAAGCACTGAAAAATCAATGGAAAAATGTTATATATTTCCTTGCCTTTTACACAGGCAAAATATTGATATCCTGGCAGTGACTCTTCATAGATGGCAGACAACCAGTGTGACCAATATACAGAAGATTTTGCATGTTCGATGGTTTCAGGATCCTTTTTGTGGATGTCGTCTATGGGATGTTCCAAAGCGCTTCCCACAAAAGTGGATTCGGTAGCTATGAACACTTTTGTCAATGGAGAGAGGTCATCGGTGGTGCACTTGACTTCTATTTCTTCATCATGAGTAGAATTCAGGAGGTCAAGTAAGATAGTGTTGTGCCCCCCCTCAACGGTGGATTCTGTGAGGAGGTCAACATGGTATCAAGCAGGTAGACATCTTGGTCGAGTACTGTGACAAAGTTCAACATAGGTAGTACCATCGGACATTTCAATGTCAGCACTGCGATGGTGTCAGGGCATAAGTTTCAAAGTTAGGATCAATACACACTTGTGAGTTTGGTCAGTTATTGACGTATCAGAGGTGTTAGAGTCTAGGGATGGCCTGTAAACAGGTTAGAATTAGTCCCTTAGTAATGGATAACTACACACTTGAGATTAAAATGATCGCTTTTGAATGAATCATCCAAGGCAGCAGTGTCGTGATAAAGCCTGTGATACAGGTTAACATTGTGTATATCAACCACTGAAGAAACATGTACTTGTTTTGAGATAGTGTTGGTTCAGTGTCTATATTCAGATCATCCCAGAGGATGTCTGATAGAGGCGGAGATGGTAGATGACTCAGGAAGCCATGAAAGTCTATGTCATGTTGAGGTCAGACTGACTTTAAAGTGGGAAACCATATGAGGTAACCCTTGGAATCTTTTGCGTATCTGACAAATCGACCTTCTTCCCCTCAAGGTTCCATCTTTCCAATTTCATCTGAGTTAGACTTCCATGCAGTTACGAGAGCACCAAAGGGTCTAAGATGAGAGAGGTCTGGTTGTTTTTGGAACCAGCCTTGAAAAGGCATGATATGGGATAAGGAGGTGTGAGGTACTCTGTTTTTAATATGAGCACTAGTTTGTGTTATAAATGGCCAGAACCAAGCCATCATCTGTGAATTGATGAGCATAGCTCACGACATTTGTTCTAAAATTTGGTTTGTTTGTTCTGCAACACCATTCTGTGGGGAAGCATCCAGGTAATTCCTTCAGTTTCGCAGTATTGTTTGAATTGACCCTCAACAAGCTCGCTGGCGTTGTCGACACGCAGGAAGATAATTTTGTACCCAAGTTGTTTCTCGGTGGCAGTGCAAAATAGAATAAATGATTTAAGAGCTTCAGATTTTTGTTTTAAGAAGAAGACAACAATGAAACAACTACAGTCATCTATGAAGGTGATGAAGTAGCAAAAACCCCTGTATCCAGTTGGAAAGGGGCCACAGATGTCAGAATGAATGCAGAAGAGAGGGCGATAATATGCAGATTTTGCACTTAGGCTTGTAGCCATATATTTTGACAATGTATATGCGCTACATATACAATAAGAGGGTTATACAGCAGTAACCTGATTAGCCTGGTTTAAACCAGAGGCATAAAGTAGAAATCTGGTTAAACCATTGTAAAGCACTCAAGCTACAGTTAAACCAGGTTAAACCAAGATAAACTGGGTTTAACCTGGTTTAACCTTGAAGTGCATTTGAATCTACATTTTATTATTTGATTAACATACTGTAGTAGTGATGAGTACCCATGAAAAGTTTATGGATTGTAGACAGGTCACGGAGATTTCAGGTTTCCTTTTTAGTCCCCAGAATAGCAGGGGCAAGCCCCTGCACCCCATATATATTCTCAACCCTAACCCTAAACCTAAACCTAAACCCTAAGCCCTAACCCCTAACTAAGTGCTCCCCAGGTTTGGCATGTCTCAGACAGCTCTCTAATGTTAGGGTTAGCACAAAGTGCTAACCCTAACAAGAGCTGCCTTCGACATTGCTTAATATGCCAAAAAGGAAATTAAAAATCTCCGTGAGTTGTCTACAATCCATACACTTCTCATGGGTACTCACCACTACTACAGTATCTTAACTAAGAGCTGAAATGTGTATTAATTCTCTGGTTAAACCAGATTTATCCCAGTTTAAACTGGTTAAACCAGGTTTATCTCAGTTTAACCACAGTAAACATAATTTTTAACTCATCTACCCACAGTTTAAACAGGTTTAACCATTAAATTATGGTTTGACTGCTTAACAGTGGTTTAACCAAATTTCTACTTCATGGCTCTAGTTTAAACCAGGCTAGTCTTGTTTTACTATACGGAGCCCAAATGTGATAACTGTAGCTAACGCTTAGTATCTCAGCAATAATACTCAGTTAGTTGTGACAATACACCCACAAGCGTAGTCTGATACTAAACTAGCGAGGATACTCAAGATGCCCAGAGACATCAACACTAGATTGTCAGTCTAGTTCTACCCACCCCAATGCATACACAAATCCGCATACTTGGATCATGGATGTCTCGAAGTGGGATGAGTACTGGCAGTGGCGTTACCCAGGGAAGGCATCAGAAGGGGAATGCAATCCTCGTACTGTGCTAGCAGAAAGACAGATGCCGGAGGATAAGATCTATGATCACCTTATGGACTGGAAGGAAGATCTTAACATGTTACAATGACTAGTCGGGCTGCGATGCGGCACAGCTGCTAGATGATTAAGCTAGGCAAATTTGATATTTGATTATCAGCCGACTATTGACTAGGAAAATCCTACTGCAATAAACCCAATGATCTTACGGTGGATAGGCTATCGCCAAGCCACAGCTCTGACAGTCCACGAGCTCTGAGCATTGTGCTAGCACACATATCTCTCATAACCACCCGTTGTGATGAAGCCGAAGGTCTCTTCACCGCCGGAGTCTGCTAGTCCTCTTAATTCCCCCTGGTTTAAAAGTACCGAGTCAATCAAACACCATAACTGGGCATTTGTTTAGGGCACGTACGGAGTCTAGCTTTCTCTTCGAAGTTAATATTATATTCTATCTTATAAAGTTTGGATTGGTGTAATAGAAGCTTTGTAACAGCTTTTGCACCCACTTGAGATTGAGTTAGATCTTTTGCATGAATCTAGTTGCCTCCTTAGAGGGGATGGCTTCTAGTAAGGAATTATTTGGCTCCAGATTGAGGGTTCCTTAGCTAGCTCTTAACAAGTATTAGCGAGCCACTAAGATTGTGGGATGAGTTCCTAGTGATTAAGTTCACTCACAGTTTTGTAGCTTGACCCAGAGTTTGGTCAGGGACATTACGGTGTTATGCTAGCTGGAGCCAGAGTTTGCCCAGGAGTGTCCTAGTCGTGTTGTATTGGTTTTGGTTTTGGTTATTGTTGGACACACACACACACAGTTATTTGGCTATCTGGGTTTTCGGTTGGACATACATGCACAACTTAGACGATAGTCTACGCTAGTTCAGTTCATAGAACTTACTAGACCCTGTCGCACTATGCTAGTTCAGTTGTTTCACTACACTGGCTGGTGTAACATCTTACATAATCAAAAAAAAATAGTTCAATAAATTATTCATTGAAGGAAAGGTAGGACAGCTCACCTTGGGAATGACCCAGCCCAACGAATCCATTCTTAAGTCTATACAGTCCAAAGTGGGTTGAGGAGTTGTTGAATAATACATCTTGAAAACAGACAACCTGCAGATGATCCAGTAAAGAGGAAGAGAATGAAAGAGCAAACAAAAGAGCGATGGAATTTTTTTTTCAACTTTATCATGTCACATGTTCACCACTTGATAAAAATGTTTGCAAGTGCCAACTTGCTCAAAGTATGGTTGCATGTTCAGTTGAGTTGAGTTTGCGCAAACTCGATTCCCACCGATAGATTTGGGATTGAATTGAAAAAACATTTAGCCAGCTGTACACAGACCAAACACAGACAGGCATGGATTAGCACCAGATCAGCCCAGTGCAGCTTTTCACTGGCGAGCGCCAAAGTCATATTATTGCTGCGTACTTGAGTCGCAAACTCAAACTTAGAGACCATTCTGCATGAATTTCTGACCAATAGATTTGAGATTGAATTGAAAAAAAAATTGCCAGCTATACACAGTTGATACACGGACAGACACAGACCTACTCAGATATACACCAAATGCCCAGATCAGCCCAGTGTGGGTTTTGACTGGGCTTGAGGCCTTGGGGAGCAAGATGAGTGAGAGCTGTGGGATGGGAGGTGTATTCTGTCTGTGTCTGTGTCCATGTCCATGTCTACATCTATAGATCATTCCCTCTCCTTTCCTTGTCCATTCCTTTCATCAGACTAACTGGCACTTCATCCAACACTGATAACCAAAAGTTACCACCTCTCTATACATTCTGATATGGTGTAGTGGCTAACATTATCGCCTCTCATAAGAAATGGTGCATTTTGTGCGATAGCCCGGGGTTCGATTCCCTGTGTCGGAATAAGCTTAGGGTGGCAACTTCCCAATTTTTTTTTTAAAAAAATGCTATCTACATAAGTAGTACAATTCTTCGCTCTATCTAAATATTTTTGATATTTTCCAAGACAAAAGTCATGCACTATCATAAATTTCAAAATGACGGGGCTGAATTATAAGTGAGTGCAGAGATTAATGTGGTTTGTCTGTGCCCCACCCCCTTTACTTGTAAATTGCTAGTATGTAGTGGTTGAAGCAAGGATCTCTCCTTCTAAACCTTCACCCTTTACCAATGTATGATACCAAGTAATTGTTACGGTATGGCGCAGGCAATAATATTGTCGCTTTTCATAGGCTTTGTTCGCCAGTTGCATTGGAAGCCTACACAGGTTTGATTCCTTGTGTCAGAACATATGAAGTAATGTACATTCCGCATTCAATTTTTTGCACTTTTGTCCAATTCACCAACAAACCATCTGGCTCATTGATTCAAGAAAAGAAGTGAGAACATTGAGGTATATATAAAGGTAGTTTACATGATACACATAAGCTACAACAACTTGGGATCACCTACTTCCACTCTAATCAACATCCCCATATTCCCATCCCCAATCATCTGTTTGAGAGACTCAAACACATCCTCCTCCCCACCCCTACCCTCACCCCATTGGAGTAGGGGATTGTGGCTTTCCGGGCTGGAGTTTGCTGTCAGTATATAGCCTTTCATGCATGTTTGTAGCTACTCAGTTGTATTCATCCATGTTCTCTGTGATTACCTCTCACTGAGGTTGGGATCTCCCACCTCACCATCCACGTTTCTGATCCACCCCAGTGACCCCATAATCCACCAACTCAAGCATCAACATAATCCCTATCTTCCTCGCATCCCTCCACCTCCCCACGCGCAAATAATAATAAATATGCAATCTCCGTCAAAAGTACTAGTGCACAAAACGCGAGGTTGCCCAGAGGTGTTTTCGGTTGGAGGATGGAGAGAGGGAGAGGCCGATGGGAGGAGAGAGCGATTCCGTCAAGTGTGTAGGACGTGTAGGGTGGGATGGCAGGTTTGAGAGAGGAGGAAGGGAAATGACGTCTGACGGTGTAGGGGCAGCAGGGGCAGCAGGTTTGGGGGTAGGAAGATCATGGGTAGGGTAGCAGGAAGGGTTGTAACAGGTATCAGCATCGAAGGGATCTAAATTGGTGATAGGGTAGGCGGAGGAGTGGGTTTTTCAGTAACGGGGATGGAAACTTCTGTCGTCTGAACATCCATCACAGCAGTAAGCAGCCCTGGAGGCACATCAGCAGGACATTGACAATGGCACAGCTGCATTGTTCCATGAATGAATTGAATCTACTGGTAATGTGTAACATTACACTGTATGCATCTGCACCTGCGGAAACACTATGACAATGGCAAACTCGGAGGCTGCCAACATGAACAGAACCACATACTTAGCATGGTTGTCATCATTGAATCCTTGGCATCTCAAGATCTCACTACTTGCTATGTAGTAGTAGTATTGTGTGAATCCGATTTTAAAGCCTTCATCAATGTATGATCCAAAGTAACTGTTCCAATATGGTGCAGTTGGTAACATTACCGCCTTTCTTAGGCATTGCTACTAAGCTGAACACAGGTTCAATCCTTGTCAGAACATGTGGTAGTGAATGTTGGGTTTTTTTTCAATTATGATTTTTCTCTCAGTGCTATCTCATTCTCCGATGAGGAGAAATCCACATCTACCATGTCTCTAGGCCATTTATGAATTCAAGAAGGAAGTGGGAATGAGTGCATATATAGGTATTTTACTACAGTATATATATATATAAGGTAGATTCTGATAATATGAGCTCGAAGGCAGATTGATTACTTGTTGCTTCTTCCGCCCCAGTCCTCCTCCTGCCGCTCTAGTCCACCGCCCCATACTCACCATGATCAGCACTCATCCTCTCAAAAGCACCCTCTGATACCGCTCAAGCACCTCCTCCAAGCCTCTTTTTGTCCACCCCTGGTGCCTTGGCACAGTCCAACAACTCGAAGATCAACACAGGAGAAATATGTGTCTTTTAAGGAAAGATTTTAGTATGAGCGGAAGGGGGGAAGTATATTTGGCAGCTAACTGGTTTCAGGGATTTGCTATAAGAAAAGCTGAAGATGAGGCCATGATGCTTGAGATGCATGAGATCTATGAGATGGGAACTGGAGATGGGGGTGGGGAATATGCATTGGATGCTAGGTATATTCCATGTCCTTGTCCATGTCCATGATGTATTGATCCTTTCCTCTCCTTTCCTTGTCCATTACTTTCATCAGACTAACTGGTACTTCATCCAACATTGATAATCAAAAAGTTACCACCCCATTTACATTCTGATATGGTGTAGTAGCTAACATTATCGCCTCTCATAAATTGCGCCGACTCCTATAAATCCTGTGGTTGCGCGATAGCCCGGGGTTCAATTCCCTGTGTCAGAATATTGCAATTGGCCCAAACGGCTCTTTTTTTTAAAAAAATGTTATCAAGTATTCTTCTGTCGTTCTATCTTCAAAATTTTTTGGAAAGTTGTGCACTATCGTAAATTTCCAAAGTGACAGGTCCGAGTTCAATGTGAGTGGCAGAAATCAATGTGGTTTGTCTTGGCCCTGCCCTCATTATTTGTAAATTGTAAATTGTTAGTCCGTATACATCTTAAGATCTCAGCAAATCCAAGGGAAAATCAGTAGTATTTGAATCTGATTGTGAAGCCTTTGCCAATGTATGATCCCAAGTAACTGTTCCGATATGGTGCAGGTGATAACATCGCCACTTTCTTAGGCATTGCTGCTAGGATGAGCATAGGTTTGATTCCTTATCGGAGCATTTGTATGTCTCTCGCCCAGTGAGCGACATGTTCTGTGTATAATTTTTCCTCTCAGTGCTATCTCATTCTCCGATGAGGAGAAAATCTGCATCTACCATGTCTCTAGGCCATTCATTCATTTATTAATCATTCAAGAAGAAAGTGGGAACACATATATAGGTGTTTTACAGTATATATACTTATAAGATACTATAATAATGTGAGCTCAAATACAGATCGATTACTCAATACTCCTCCTGCCGCTCTGGTCCACCGCCCCATAATCACCATTGACTTATATACTGAAAAACACCCTTCAAACACCTTCTCTGAGTCCCTTTTTGTTTGCTTTTTCTCCACCCCCATCGCCTCGGTACAGTCCACCAACTCGGGCATCAACACAGAAGGGTGTCAACACAGAACACAGGAGGAATATTCATTGTGTGCTGGAAAGATTTCGGTATGAGCGGAAGGAGGGGAGCATGTTCAGCAGCTACTAGCTAGTTGTTGCAAGATGAATTGACGATGAAGCTGTGAAGATTGAGATGAGCAAGAGCTGTGGGATGGGAGGTGGATTCCGTCTGTATCCATGTCCATGTATATGTCTACATCCATGTATCAATCCTTTCCTCTTGTCCTTCAAGTTTCCTCAGAAGTCTGTTCCTTTCATCAGACTAGCTGGCACTTCATCCATAAACATAAGGTTACCACATGTTTATACATTCCGATATGGTGTAGTGGCTAACATTATCGCCTCTCATAATCAAATTGTCAGCATCTAGAGTTGCGCGATAGCCCGGGGTTCAATTCCCCGTGTCGGAATATGGGAATTTGCCCATATGCCTCTTTTTTTGAAAAAAATGTTATCGAGAATTCTTCTGTCATTCCATCTTCAAGATTTTTTGATATTTTCCAAGATGAGAGTCGTGCACTATCGTAATTTCCAAAGTGAAGGGTCCGAGTTGTGCAGTGAGTGCGGAAATTAATTGTGGTTTTGTCTCGGCCCCGCCCTCATTACTTGTAAATTGAGAGAATGTAGTGGTTGAGGCGAAGATCGCTCCTTCAAGTTGGAAAGCCTTTACCAATGTATGATACCTATAATCGTTCCGGTATGGCGCAGGTGATAATATCGTCGCTGTTCGTAGACATTGCCACCACCAGGAAGCCTACACAGGTTCGATTCCTTGTGTCGGAACATGGAAGCAGAGAAGTGATGAGATTCTTCGATTTTTTTTTCTACTTGTTGAAAATTTTTCTTTACGCCATCGAGGGAAAATGCACTCGTTAATTCAAGAAACAAAAAGTGAAAACATTGAAGTACATATATAAGTATTTTTTACAGTATACACATAAGTTACAACAACTTGAGATCATCTACAGCCTAATCAACATCCCCATATTCCCCATCCCCACTCATCCTCTCAAACACATCCTCCTCCCCACCCCTTCCCCCACCCCGTCCACGTTTCTGATCCACCCCCGCAACCCCATAATCGACCAACTCCAGCATCAACACAATCCCTATCTTCCTCGCATCCCTCCACCTCCCCACGCGCAGATACGCAATCTCCATCAGGAGCACGAGCGCGCGGAACGCGAGGCGTGAGCGCGACATGTGGAGATGCCGAGGGTGCGCTGCCAGGATGCCCAGAATTGTTTTCGGTTGGAGGAGGGTGAGAGGGAGTGGGGATGGGAGAGGCCGATGGGAGGGGAGAGGGATTCCGTCGAGTGGGTAGGATGTGTAGGGTGGGATGACGGGTTCAAGGGAGCAGGAAGGGAAATCACGGGAGATGGGACGTCAGGAATGTCTGGAATGTCTGACGGCGGTGTAGGGCCAGCAAGGACAGCAGGTTTCGGGATAGGAATTTGAATTGGTGGTAGGGTCGTAACAGGTATTGGCGTCTGAGGGATCTGAATTGGGGATAGAGTAGGAGGAGCGGGTTTTTCGGCAATCGGGACGGACACTTCCGTCACGGCAGGCAGCCCTGGAGGTCCAACGTACTCGACATGCAAATCAGTGTCCATCGACGACGACGGCGATCTCGCCACATCATCAACATCGTTCAGCGAGTGAACTGAACCCTCTGGTAACGCCGCATCTGGGCCCGCCGCGGAAACACCACGGCCAACAGCAGACGCAGCGAAGGAAAACGGCACCATGTAGCTTAGTGTCTTCATTGGCTCCTCGTGTTTGGAGCTGTGGCGGCGGAAATGGAACGATGGGAGGGAGATGCGACGTTTGGGCGTTGGGAAGATGTCGGTGTGGGCAAGCGGGGGAAGCGGGGCGTGTTCGACGGGGACAGCTTCGAGTGATTCGTCAGAAGATTGGGATGAGTGAGACGAGTGATTGTGGGAAGAGAAGTGGAGGTGCGGGTGCGGAAGGTGTATGGATGGCAGATGGATTCCATGTCCATGTTCCTTTCCGCCCTTTCCTTTCGTCGACGTCGGACTAGTCGCCTCATCCGAGTCCTCTTCCGTCTTGTACGAAAAAGTCCTCAGTCCCATCATCGAGTTTCGTTTGATAACAGTCTTTAGCAGACTGGGTCTGTGGTGCTTTGACGAGGTCGGAGACTCGGGTTCATCGTCAGGGGCTGGAAACGTGATTGGGTTGTAGCTGGATGGAGAAACATCCGATGGGCTCGAAGGAGACGAATGGCCAGACGAATCGTCAGAATGGAAAGAACGTTGTCCTTTCACGACTTTCGGCATTGTTTACTGTTGCGGCGTTAGATAGGTCGAAGACGAGAAATGAACAACAAAACCTACCTTTCAGCTGCAGCTCAGGACCTCAGAGAGATTCAGAATCGTTGAACGTTGGAAAACCTGGGAGCCCAATCGATAAGTTGGAGCAAGAAGGGCAGAGAAACAAGATAGCTGTCGTGATTCCTTGGGGCTTTTATACAAATTTCAACGACAGCCCCGAGATGGACAGGAATTCAAGATCGCGACGAGAATTCTGCCGTTATCTTCAGTACAGTTCAGTACATGTACAATATTGAATAGTTATTATTGTACTTCCATAGACATCTATAACATCTATCCATTCCATCCTTCTTCGGTTCGGTTCGGACGCGTTTTCGCCCCGAGGCCACAAGACATCTCGTACCTTTATTCACTCTATCAGCCTTTATCCACACTTTATCCACCCAGATCCACGGCTGCATGCAACCATCGCTTTTGAAGGTATTCAGTTCTCTCCGTTGGATGGATGAAATGTCACGATAGAGTCGGATAGACATGAAATAGACATGAGATGCACGTTGATGCACGTTGATGCACGGCCGATACACGGTCATTACAAGTCAAAAGTCATTATTGGCGCTCCATTACCGCTCACCGCTCTAATTCGGCTATTCGGTCCACCGAACACCCGTCGTCATGTTACACGCCTTTGCTTTGTCTTCATCGAATGACTATTAGCTCACCCAGAGCTCACCAAAAAAACTGCGAGTAGTGATAAGGTATATACATATTTACCGGTATGCAAGCAAACAGATTAGTTAGATATCCATATCGAAAGACTTTGAAAATTAGATCGTAGTTCCTCTCCCTCGTCTCCTCGGACTATATTCGTGTGTCCAGCATTCGTTAAAGCAATATCCAGGGTATCTCCAGCACCTGCTCCCCTCTCCTCTCTCTCTTTGATATATCCTGCAGTGCAACCACTTTGCTCCTCCCAATCTCCAATCTCCTCGCAATCTCGCAAACAACGTAATCCGCCCTCCAACACGCGACCTATCACGCAAACCAACACGCGCGCTAATACGCGACATACGCAACACACAACAGCGGAAACCCAGCATACAGCCCAAGCCAGAAAAACATATTTCCCAAGATCTTATTCCTCTTGATGAATGGACCGAATTGAGCGCGATGAGCGGGATTTGAATGAGTTGCAGCGCGAAGAGGTAGAATCTGTACAAGATCGTTGTAAGTAAAACGCCCAATTCTCAGATCTCCAGTTCTCGAGGGCAGAGCAAACAACTGGATTGAAAGGAACAGAGGGAGTGAGAGAAAGCCACCACCCACCTAAACTTCTTCGTAACAACCACCATAACCAGCTCATGCACACATGCGCTCAACAAAAACGTCACAAACATCGCGCTCTGCCTCGATAATTTGTAGCTCGTCATCGTCGACGCGTAGACGTGGCGCAGAAGGAACATGTGTACGGGTTTGTTCCATTTGCGGGAGAATTCGGCTTGCGAGGTGGAGTTCCACTGTGCAGGTGACGGGAAAGGGGGTATTAGCATTGAGATCAGTTCAGAGGGAGAGGGAGGGAGGTGAAGAAGAAGACGTACCCAGTCTTCGTAGAATTGCCGGTCAGCAAAGCTATAAGCAGAATTATCAACATCAGGATTCCATAATAGCGTGCAGAAAGAAAAGGCACTCCATACCATGATAGTTCAGCAAACGCATTACATATACATTCTAAAGCACATAAAAAGCGTCAGTTACTAGTTACCTTCACACCCCAAACCTAGAACCATTAAAAAAAAAAGAAACCCACCAAATATTATATAAAACAACAACAGATACGCCATCATAAACGGCAGCGCAAGATCAAGCAACGACCGAAAGAACGACTGATCGGACGTCGGCGTGAGCGGGAGGATGAACGTCTCCGTGACGGTGTACAACAACACAAACGTCCCGAATGTCGCTACGGTTTTCTCGAATACGTAGATCGGCGGATACTAGATAAGGATAGAAAAAAGGAAGAAACTTGGTTAGCCACGCATATCCATATCGTATCCATATCATATCATAGCGGATAAGATAGGATAACCATAGCGCATACCCATAGCCTAGGTTTGAAGGTAAGATACTCACCGATTAGTCCTCGGATACTCCAACTCATACACCAACGTCGGTATCACCATATACAGCGCGAAATTCCTGAACGTGATATTCCGGGCCACCGCACATACAACGGCCCGTGCTAACCAGCTCCCCTTGCAACTCCGTATACTCTTTCGCCAAATCCGCGATCTTCTCATTCGGGTGGTCGACAAGCGGATGTGGGGCGGTAGGCGAAATGAAAGTGGTTTCTTCATCGGTCTTTTTGTCGGTGTGGACCTCGCTGACGGTGATGTTGACATTATTCGTATTGGGATTCGGATTGTTCGTATTGAGATTAGTATTGAGATTGGTATTGCCATTCGTATTGCTCGCACGACATTCGTAGTGACATTAACCACCACATCCGAATTCGACATCGACCTAAGCCGTCTCTTAAGCGCTTTCGCCGTCTCCGGGTCCACAAACGACGCTTGTGCGCCCTCAGGAATAGGCGGAGTACCCGGCGAAGGCGAGGGTTCGCGCTGCGGTGTCGTTGCTGACGAATCGGTAAGCATAGACGAGGCATCTATTTCTGCCCGGCTCTCTTTCGCTACGCGTACAGCGTTCTCCCAGCCGCCACCGTCAGACTCTGCTGCGGCGCGAGTTGCGCTAGAATAGGCTTGGATTGTAGGGATACTGATTGGAGATACCCGTTGACGGACATGTACGAGTGCATCTTCATGATCATAACAAGGGTATGGAGGGTGAAGAACCCGGATTGCACCCATGGCCACTGTCTAGCAAGAGTTCGCGTTCAATCGAAATGATGAAGTTTTGATAAGCAAGGAAACGCACCTATTAAACGTCCACCCCACCGCAACAACCAACACCGTCGTCTGAAACACATGTTGAATAATCAACCCCGTCCAATAATACCTTATCCACCCCTTCGCAATCGCCTTCGCAAACACCACACACACCGCCGTGCTGCCCACCAGGACACCGTCGCTCAGCGCCAGCGTGATAGCATGCTTGGAGAA